AGTTTAATGTCGGGTTTTGTCGTGTCGCGTCGCGCCACATGTAGTGTAGACAGCGTCACTGATTATAATGGGTTCTACTGTATTTTGCCTGCTCGCGTCCGGTGTAGACACAGTGTTTAATGTCGTTGGTCAGGAGGACAGCCTGTGTGTGTCCTATGCCTTAGTGGACAGCATGAAACCCACAATAAATAAATAAATAGCCTAAATAACAGTGAGAATAATAATAATAACAGTTATTCTCTCTATGCTATATTTCAATGTTTCAAGTGATGCAGGTGTTTTTAGCCCCACACAGTTTCCCATCTGGGCTGTTTAACATTTCAACTCGGTGTTACAGTGCGACCAAAAAAGTTTGAGAACCACTGGTCTAAAGTTAACAGACAGTGTTTAAAAAGAGCAGTCCACATGTTTACATATGTTTATTACAGTGACTTTAAATGACCTAAAGTAGTGTGGTAAAGCAACAGATTTGTTTTTATATTTCTGCAATCTACTTTAGTTTTTGTGATTTGTCACTGTCTTTCATATTAATGTTTACACCAGGCTTATTTTTCAGTGCTTTATGTTGTCATAATTATTACATGCTTACAAGGTTGGAAGTTCAACCAATCAGTCAATATACTGTGATTGTAATTGATGTTTACACCAGGCTTATTTTTCAGTGCTTTATGTTGTCATAATTATTACATGCTTACAAGGTTGGAAGTTCAACAAATCAGTCAATGTACTGTGATTGTAGTTGTTAAATAAAAATGTCATTCATATCAATTCATGCATCACCTAATTTCATCATAACATATAGGCCTGACCTACAGAAAAGAACATGTGTTTAATCTATCTAATATTGTGTTGGTCATACTATACAATGATTTATAGCTTGTCTTTGTTGAATAATACAGAACATAAATAGCTTTAAAAAATAATTGCATATTAAATCGCAATATTGGTTAAAAAAAAAATCGCAATTAGATTTTCCAAAATCGTTCAGTCCTAAATGCCACTTGTTTTATTGTTTTAGACATATTTATAAGATGCAAGGGCTGTGGAAGATTATTTGACTCAGAATTACACAAGCAATTATATATAACACCACAGGGATAATTAATGCTAATGATGATTGCGTACTACTTTCATTCATTCAACTTGACTGGCAGTTCTAATATTATTTGTAATTTATTTATAACAAGAGTTCTCCAAGATTATTGATGAAGCTGTCTATGGCGTGAGTACAGTTATAAAATTCCTCTCAGATCATGCGCTACCACGATTATTTCCATTGACATATTCAGACTAGGGGTTGTATACATATTTAATATCCCCAACACACAGATGCTAAGGAGAAATGATTTTGTCCTTCAGCTGAATTTCTTTCATTCACTCACACAAGCTCACACTTGTCTGTTTTTCCCACAGTAGCAATGTGTTGCTGTTTAAAAAAATCTATTAATATTTTATTCCCCCTTATAAACTCCCAACCTAAGGCTGAAGTCTTCTTGAAGTGTCTGGATGCCTTTGTGGAAACATAGGCTTGGGATTTTTGTAATGAACAATGAAGTCTTTGCTTCTTCCTTCCATATGTCATTAGCTTCAAAATTCTTTACACAGTAGCCGCATTTTAAAATTTCATTACATGGAGCCTTCAACCCGACAAAACATGGCAATAAAACTCACACATGGCCGCGAGATCTTTAAATTGCGTCAAAGGTGTGATTTGACCACCAAAAGGGTAACAATGGGGTGAGACGTCAAGATGAACAGAGCCTCATCACAGAATATATACTTTCAATAATGAGGGAGGGTGCCAAATGCGCAATCTGTGGGGTTGCTAGGCAACTGCATCAGCATCACTCCAGCATCCTCGTGTCAAGAAACGCATTGGAACCATGCTTTTGCATGTCTTCACCTGGCTGATTTATGTGATTTGCAGCACATTGATTGAAGAATGCCCAATTGCCTGCCTCTTATGGCAAAGTCACCCACAGGCTGAATCGCTCAGTAAAGGAAGTAATGATTCACAGGCATCACCAGTTCAGCACAGTTGGCAGCATTAGTGTGATTATTGTTGTGGATTCAAAGTCTTCATTCGCAATGTATCACTCCAAGGTGACAGATGAGCATGTTTCACAATTCTGTTGCCCTTTGCCTGTAGTATGTAACGCTATCAGTTATTAGCAGCTCAGCGTTTAGAAGCAGTGCAGTGTCTTGCTGTGTGATCATTCGTTAGTAATCAGTAAGCAGAGGTGGAAAGTTACAAACTACATTTACTCGCGTTACTGTAATTGAGTAGTTTTTTTGTGTACTTCTACTTTTTAAAGTAATTTTTAAAATCTGTAATTTTACTTTTACTCAAGTATATTTTGTTTTAAGTATTGTACTTCGCTACATTTTAAAACACATTAATAAAAAAAAAATCGCACCCTGAAAACGACTGCAGTAAATAATGGGCAGGAGAGCAAACTGGCGCTAAAATCACAAGAAAGATGCAGACGGACAGACTAGGCGTTATGGCGCAGACCCAGCTGAAAACGAAACCCCGTCGTATTCTGCTGAAGTTGAACTCGAAGGAAATGAAGTGAACCCCTGGCCATATTTAAGCTGTATTATTCAGTGTAAGCTGTGTTTGCCTAGGGAGACCAAACTAGCAGCTTATAAAATCTCGACATCAACCCTTCGCAAGCATGTAGAGGATGGCCCAAGCGCCAGTCTGTCACTTTAAGACAATATATTGACACACATCGGATTTTCTCCCAACTGTTCTCCTCCACTTAAGACATAAACTGTGTTTAAGTAAATACTCTCCAAGCCGGCCATTTTGACATATTTTTGTGTGTATTTGATCGATTGGACATGCTCCCGAAGCTCAAAGTGTAATTTGTTAGTCCGTATTGGAGCACGCCGCGCGCACACATTTCAGCCTGAGGAACAGCGTCTCTCTTGTGCGGATTGTGCTTTCAACGTTTTATTATCAAACATGTCCCGCAATTTAGCAACAGTAAAGACGGCGTTTTACAACAATCACCGATTGAGCTGATTCTGACGTTAAGTTTGGGTTTTAGGGAGGAACGAATGCGCACTGCTGTGAAGGGAAAGAAGTTGCGCAAGACGAAACGCAGCTAGTTTTTAATAGCTTTACCTCATGTCTTCTTTTGTATAATCCTTAGAAGCCAAAATCAAAATAAAAAAAATCAAATGAGCTTAATAAAACAGCCACAGGCCTAAAGTGTAAGCAGATGTTTGAATGTTTAGTTCTCATGTGCGATTTGACATTATCAGTATTTTGCCAAAAACCAAAGAAAAGTCTAGTAGATTAGACTAGTGCGCGCGCATTTAGAGTGCATTCTTTCACTGCGTGATTCAGTCTGTTAAAATGCATTTAGAATGATCACAAAATTGAAGATATAGGGGCAGAAAATGTATATATTCAATATAATCAATATTAAACGAAGAATGCCGTTTTTTTCTCCAAAAATCAGCATGATTACATATAGATTTCTTTACAAATTTGCCTGGTAACAGCCCAAATGTCTTATTATTCTAAATAACTGATTCCTTTAATTAAAAACAACTAGTTTGAAAATTAGAGGCCTATCCCATTTTTGCCTCACTCCCACTGTTAAAATGTAACTAAGTAATTTTTACTCTGAGTACATTTTAAATGAGCTACTTTTTACTTTTACTTTTACTTAAGTACAAGTAAAAGTACCAGTCTAAAAATCTACTCAAGGTAAATTTCATATCTACTCAAGTAAAATTTCATTAATGTAATGGTACTTTTACTTGAGTAGAATATTTTCGTACTCTTTCCACCTCTGTCAGTAGGACATGATCAAACTGTGAACTGCTCACTAAAGTTGCTGCTGACGGCAGCAGAGCACACGAATAAAAGAGAATCTGTGCTCATTCATTTAGATTTACAGACCTAGCAGATTATACATTTATATACTTATAAATATGGCAGTGCAAAGCTACCACTCTTCTTACCAGGATTTAACACCAACCTTTACATCTCATTTGAAGTTTTTTTCTGTCCAGTTTTCCTGTGTATTATGATTAGCCAGATATCAATAATAATACTTTGTTGCTTGATAATTACGCAAAGATTGATGTTTTGACTAATTTTGGAACTATTTTTGTTGGTAGAGAAAAAAAATGCATGAATTATAAAAATATAAATAACAAATTGTTATAATATATTATATTTTTTTAAATGCAAGGGTGCACTTATCTGATCAAAATCTCAGGAAAAAAGTAATATTGTGAAATATTATTACAATTTAAAATATCTGTTGTCTGTAATATATTTTAAAATGTAATTTATTCCTGTGAAGGCAAAGCTGAATTTGTCGAATGTCGAAAACATTTGTGCAACTTAATATTTTTGTGGAAACCATTTTTTTCTGATCCATTAGATGAGAGTAATGTCTTGAACATCCATTGTTTGAAATATAATTTTTTTTGTAAGAAATGTCACATTTTGATCAAATTAATGCATCCTTGCTGAATAAAAATATGAATTTCTTAAAATAAAAATCTTCTAATGACCCTAAACTGTTAAACGCCAGTGTATATATCAATTATATATTTATACTTATTTACTGTGTGTATAAAGTTTTAAACAGACGGTCTTATGCAGACTGCTTAGACCGCTCTGATTCATCGATTTATTATACACAGCATTTAAATGACATTTTATACTTGTAAATTAGTAGTCTGTTTATCCATGAACTGTTGATTTTGGTTGGTTCACTTCGTCAGTCTTAGAGTGGCCAAAAATGATTGCAATGTGTTGCAGTGCTTGATTCATTCATTAATTTCATGCATTTTTGTATAATTTAATTAAAAATGTTTTGATTTAAAAATCTGCTTGTCTAATTACATCTTTATTAAAACTGAAATTAATACTACTTCACTTTTTTGTAGACTACTACATCTTGCCGTTTGAAGAGCTCATTGATGATGCTGTCCTTTTAAAGTCTGCCCTTCTTTTTTTGTTCTTGCAGCTTTCTGAACTTCTCCCGGCTCAGTAGTGCTGGAGCCTCAGACGTATTTCATCCTCTTCCTCATCGATTGTGACTCTGAACTTCTCTCTCCCTCTGCTGAGAGAGCACCTACCGTCTGTACTTCTGCTGTCCAATACACCAAAGCAGGTGACTTCAGCACAGACACTGAAAGACAGTCCTTTTATACTCACAGGTGCCCTGGACCTTTTTCGTTCACCTGAGAGATCATATTCCTGCAGGCCAAGCAGTAAACGCTATAGCACTGTCTACTTCTGACATTCAAATGTCCTTTTTCCAATAAGACTACACTTGTGTCCGAGGAACCAGCCTATTTGAAGACCTTGCATGTCACAATTCTGAGAAGTAATGTCCAAATAACAGGAAATTACAAAGACAAAAGAAATAAGGCCACAGTTGCTAGATATAAAGTCACAGTGGCTTGTGTCCACATGTCAGGGCGTTCAGATCCAAGTTCTCTCATAGAAGCTTGTCCCAGTTTGACTGGAAATGTGCAACTTAGGAGCTTGTCAAGACTGATTTTGTCTCATGTGATGTCTTTTGAGAACAAAATATAATTGGTTCCCTTGAGAAATCCGCTGCCTCACTAGGGGTTCACTGGTATGTCAGGACAGCCTGGTGCCCTTGAAGATTGTGCATAGTAAAGATCTTGTCTCATTAGAATAAGTAGAAGAATGAGAAGTCCATTCCCAATGCACAGGAGTGTGTGTGGCCACACAAAAACCGTACATGTGTGAACATGTAGTGACAAATCAGATCTGATCTTGCTCCCGCAACTCCTCTTCTCCTCTGTAGACTTTTGGAATGGCTGCTAAACCTCATCCACCTCTGATGAAGAAACACAGTCAGACCGATCTGGTGAGTCGTCTCAAGACACGCAAGATCCTGGGCGTCGGTGGAGAGGATGATGATGGAGAAGTGCATAGGTCGAAGGTCAGTCTTTGTATCTTGCATTATTATGTCCTTATTAATTTCCTGTCCCAAATTCCATGTGACTTGCATACCAACTTACACACACGTTAATGTTTTGCATTCAGTTCTTGCAGAGAAATGGATGTTCATATTGTCAGTGTGTGATATGAACTGTACAAAAACACACAATGCAGTCTTTTGCTCATCTGATGCTTCCTTGGTTGTTGCACTTTGATGCAGGCTCATTTAGACATTTAGCCTTTTTTAAATTTTTGTGTTCTTTTTAAATGTGGCCTTATTTTATTTTGGGTTCATTTTACCTGTTACTTTTTGAGTAGTATGTTGCCATTAGTCGGGTTTTACAAAATTCCTGTCCAAAAGTCCAAAATAATAATAATAATAATAATAATAATTCATTACATTTATATAGTGCTTTTCTAGGCACTCAAAGCGCTTTACATTGTCAGGGAGTATCTCCTCATCCACCACCAGTGTGCAGCATCCACCTGGATGATGCGATGGCAGCCATAGTGCGCCAGAACGCCCACCACACACCAGCTTATTGGTGGAGAGGAGACAGAGTGATGAAGCCAATCAGTAGATATGGGGATGGTTAGGAGGCCATGATGATCAGAGGCCAATGGGCAAATTTGGCCAGGATGCCGAGGTCACACCTCTACTCTTTTCGAAAGACATCCTGGGATTTTTAGTGACCACAGAGAGTCAGGACCTCGGTTTAACGTCTCATCCGAAGGACGGTGCTTGTTGACAGTATAGTGTCCCCGTCACTATACTGGGGCGTTAGGACCCACACAGACCACAGGGTGAGCACCCCCCTGCTGGCCTCACTAACACCTCTTCCAAAATGATCACTTGCCAAATGGCCTTGTTGAATAAATAAAATGTTACTTGCCAGTAGATGGTAAGATTATAATACATGGCTGTGTCAGATTGTAATAACAACCTGACTGTTGCTGATGTAAGTGATATGCAACATTTAAAGCAGACAGCAAGACAAACTGTCCACTAAAGATTTTGTGACCTGTAATTTTTGAAACGCATATCATATATATATACAAGGTGTGTACAAGGGCTGTCCAGAAACTATCCAGCCATGTAATATGAAAAATAGAGACATTTATTGAAGAAGATACAAGAAACATTGTATATAGAAACAATGACGCCTCAGTCCCCTTTAGTGGTGATTTTAGTTTTGGGAAAAGCCAGAAGTCACAGGGTGCCAAATTTGGGCTGTAGGGGGGCTGAGTCACCTGGGTGATTTGATGTTTCTCCAAAAAACTCTGCATGAGACGTGATGCATGGGTGGACACATTGTAGTGATGAGGCTGCCAATCAACAGTTACCCATAGCTGCAGCCATTTTTGCCGTATTGCATCTCTCATCTCATATTTTTCATAGTACATGGCTGGATAATTTCCAGATAGCCATATATATATATATATAGATGACAAATAAGAAACACCGTGGCAGGTGTCGATTTAAATGTAAAATGTCTTTTTTGGTGAGCTAGAAAATTGTTGATCTGTTTTGCAAGAGAGAGCGATGGATCCATTCACAACTAAAAATAAATGAAGGAAGCACTCCATTTTACTTTTTTAGTTGTTCTCAAGCTGCACACCCACAGGAAAGCGAGCATGACATTTTGAAACGGCTGTTGTTTTCTCCATGAGCAGGAGGGTTGAGTTTCCTGTATACAGAGTTGAAGGGTCTTGGTTTGTGTGGAGACATTAGGGTTACTCAGAGCTGTGGTAAGGGCCTTGTCCTGCGCTTCCCCTTTCAGCACCTCTGATTCAGCTCTGTGGTTATTTCACTGATATAGGGGCTTTTGTAGGATGTAACAAGACCATTTAGCTGTATTTTGGGTAAAAACACTGTGGCTATTCAGTATAATTTGTAATAATCATCTAACAAGCTCCCATTTACAGAGATTGCAATGTAAGATCATCTGATTTGCACAGTTTTAGATGGGTCCAGTATTGAAGACGGGACTTTTTTGCTTAAATTAAACTCCAGTCAAGCTAACCTTTTGAAAAATGTAGAAAACTACATTGAAGCTGGAATGTATTTTTGAATATAGCAGGTTGGCGGTATAATTTAAAGGGGTCATATGACGTTGCTAAAAAAGAACATTATTTGGTGTATTTGGTGTAATGAAATGTGTTTATGCGGTTTAAGGTTAAAAAAACACATTGTTTTCCACCTACTGTACATTATTGTTTCTCCTCTATGCCCCACCTTTCTGAAACGCGTCGATTTTTACAAAGCTCATCGGTCTGAAAAGCGAGGTGTGCTCTGATTGGCCAGCTATCCAGTACGTTGTGATTGGCCGAATTCCTCAAGCGTGTGACGGAAATGTTACGCCCTTACCATACTGTGATGCCGTGTCCCGGAGTGACGAGACAAAAACATTAAAACCCATTATAAACGAGGCATTTGTTGCATCCAGTGGGGACATAATTACGGATTATAATGACTTATACTGTCTTTTTACGCGTTGCGTTGCATCGCGCCGCGTAAACATAAAACCATGTCTGCATTTGTGATCGGAGAAACGACAAACAACAAGCGCTACTCTACACTGCTCAAAACTCGCGTTTGAATCATCAGTGGCAAATCCTTTAAATATGAAAACTTACTTACATGCTGCGAGTCAGCATTATTTGTCAGCATCATAGACTGTGGTCAGCATTGTAACGGTGGCGGCACCCAGGTAAACAGTTTTAGTGAAAAATAATTTTACCAACTTCAGCTCCTGAAACAACACATGCCTCTGCGCTGGTCCTGCAGCTCGGATAATGATCTCTTTGAAACCCTCCGGCGCTCGCTCAAGCATTACACAGTGCGTGAGTGTGCGCTCAGCTGAAACCGGTGCAACTTCCACTCTGGACACTCGCGAATTCTTCCTTTGTTCTTCACTCTCTACAAACCCGCCATGTTTTGATTCTATTCAACTATATATATAGCCACATCACTTCCTTCCCAAATTAGACTCCCGTTCCTATTCGCTGGCGGTCATGACAGTTGTTTTGGTTTCATTTTCCCAGTTACGCCTTTCCCGTTCCGCCACAGCATGCTCGCCGAAGGGGAAACAGGGGAACTGAATTCACCGGAACACCGGCATTGTAGGCTACTCTCCCAGGAAACAGTCCCCGTCCTCCGTAAAATGCGTTGCACACATCTGAATATTTGGTTTGAAGTTTGAACTGTTCTGGAACAGTGTTGTAAATACAACTTAACCACTGATTTCTAGTCATGTCCT